CCTCTTCCCCTCTCTTCTCTCTCCTCTCTCCCCCCTCTATTCTCTCCCCTCTCTCTCTCCCATCTCTCTCTCCCCCCCCTCCCTCTCCTCCCCCCGCTCTCTCCATCCCTCTCTCTCTTTCTCTCCTCTCTCGTCTCTCTCTCTCCCCCCTCCCATTTCCCCCCTCTCTCTCCCCCTCTCTCTCATCTCTCTCCCCTCTCTCTTTCCCCCACCCCCCCTCTCTCCCATCCCCCCTCTCTCTCCTCTCTTTCCTCCCTCTCTCTTCTCCCTCCCTCTCTCTTCCCTCTCGCCTCTCTTCTCTCTCTCCCTCCCCCCTTCCTCTCTCTCCCCCCTCCCTCCTTCTCTCTATCTCTGTCCCTCTCTCCCCTCTTTCCCTCTCTATTCTCCTCTGTTCTCTCTCTCCTCTCCCCCGTCTCTTTCTCCTCTCTCTCCCCCTCTCTCGCTATCTCCCTTCTCTCTCTCTTCTCTCTCCCCCCTCTCTCTCCCTTCTCTCTCCCCCCCTCTCTCTCCCCTTCCCCCCCTCCCTCCCTCCTCTCTCTCTAATTGGTGTCAGTGGGAGGAATAGTGCCCCATCATTAGTGCCAGTGTGGGAGGAATAGTGGCCCATCATTGGTGTCAGTGTGGAAAGTAATAGTGGGAGGAATAGTACCCCCCATCGTTGGTGTGGGAGTGGGAGGAATAGTACCCCATCATTAGTGCAAGCGTGGGAAGAATAGATGTCTGGGAGGAATGCCCCCCAGTTCATTGGTATCAGTCTCCTCCCTAGTCCCCCCTCATTAGTGTAGTGTGGGAGGAATAGTGCCCCATCATTGGTGTCAGTTTGGTGTCAGTGTGGGAGGAATAGTGCCCCATCATTGGTATCAGTGGGAGGAAGTGCCCCATCATTAGTGCCAGTGTAGGAGGAATAGTGCCCCATCATGGGTGTCAGTGTGGGAGGAATAGTGCCCCATCACTGGTGTCAGTGTGGAAGTAATAGTGCCCCGTTGTTGGTGTCAGTGGGAGGAATAGTGCCCCATTATTGATGTCAGTGGGAGGAATAGCGCCCCATCGTTGTCAATGGGCGGAGCTCTAATAGGAAGAAGTGGAACCTAAATAGGAAGGGGTGAGGTTTACAGATGGAGGGGTGGATCTTAAACAGGAAGGGGTGGGACAAATTTCGATGCGGGGGGGTGCCCGATCTTAGTCTTGCCTAGGGCAGCACAAAACCAAAATACACCACTGCACTAATGACAGCACTGACAGAACCACTGATAGGCTGCACTGACAGAACCACTGGTGGGTCCACTAATGACTGCATTGACAGGTCCACTGATGGCCATACTGACAAATCTACTGATAGGTAGTGGTGTGGCTGTGGTGACAGATACACTGATGGGCTGCACTAATGAATGCACTGACAGGTACACTGATGGATGCACTGATGGGCTGCACTGACAGGTACACTGATGGCTGCATTGGCAGATCCTCTAATGGGCTGCACTGACAGGGCCACTGATGGCTACACTGACAGATCCACTGATGGGCTGCACTGACAGGTCCACTGATAAACTGCACTGACAGATCTACTAATGACAGCACTGGCAGAACCACTGATGAGCTGCACTAATGGGCTGCACTGACAGATCCACTGATGGGCTGCACTGACAGAATCACTGATGGGCTGCACTGACAGATCCACTAATGCAGGGGCGTATCTGCCACGAGGCAAACAAGGCATCTGCCTTGGGCGGCACTTTTCAGGGGGGCGGTACCGCCCCCAGGCAGAAGGGACCAGTGCTGTCGCTGAAAAGGGCTGTGCTTGGCCAGGGGGGCGTGCTCGGGCAGGTTCGTGTGTGTGCTCGGTGGCGAGGATGTGTGAGGAGACAGAGAACCTGTCAGCCATGGAGCCGACTGGAGAGAGGGGGCCGGGCGGCACATAGAGGACCGTGCATTTCTCCTTTGCTCTATGTGCTGCCAGTCACCTCCCCTATCCATCTCCTGCAAACGGTCAGCTCCTGTATGCTTCCCCACGGCCGCCCCCCCCCTCTCCCTCCAGCACTGCAGGGGATCTGTCAGCATATGCAGTCCCCAGTGCTGACAGTTCCCCCCCCCCCCTTCCCCTCACACAGACAGGAGAGGAGAGAGAAAGAAAGCTGCCCCTCCTCCTCCTGTCCTCTCCTCCTGTGTCTGCCCCGCCCACACTTGCAGCCAGCCTTGTGTATTCTTTCCCCCTTTCCTCTCCCCCCCTCTCTCTCCCCCCCTCTCTCCCCTCTTCTCTCCCTCCCTCTCTCTCTTCCCCCTCCCTCTCCCCTCTCTCTCTCCCCTTCCTTCTCTCTCCCCCCTCTCTCTACCCATATCTCTCTCTTCTTCCTCTCTCCCCTCCTCCCTCCTCTCTCTCTTCTCCTCCCTCTCCCCCCTCCCCCTCCCCCTCTTCCCCCTCTGTCTCTCCTCTCCTCATCCCCTCTCTCTCCCCCCTCCCCCTCCCCCTCTCCCTCTCTCTCTTCCCCCTCTCCCTCTCCCTCTCTCTCTCCCCTCTCTCTCTCTCCTCTTCCCTCTCCCTCTCTCTCTCTACCCCATATCTCTCTCTTCCCCCCTCTCTCTCCCCTCTCCCTCCTCCTCTCTTTCTCCTCCCTCTTCTCCCTCCCTCCTCCCCCTTTCTTCCCCCTCTCTCTCTCTCCTCCTCTCTCCCCCTCTATTCTCTCTCCTCTCTCTCTCCCATCTCTCTCCCCCCCCCCCCCCCCCTCTCCCTCTCCTCCCCCCTCTCTCCTCTCCATCCCTCTCTCTTTCTCTCCTCTCTCATCTCTCTCTCTCCCCCTCCCATTTCCCCCCCCCTCTCTCCCCTCTCTCTCATCTCTCTCCCCTCTCTCTTTCCCCACCCCCCCTCTCTCCTCTCTCTCCTCCCTCTCTCTTCTCCCTCCCTCTCTCTTCCCTCTCTCCTCTCTTCTTCTCTCTCTCCCCTCCCCCCCCTTCCCTCTCTCTCCCCCCTCCCTCCTTCTCTCTATCTCTCTCCCTCTCTCTCCCCTCTTTCCCTCTCTCTTCTCCTCTGTTCTCTCTCTCCTCTCCCCCGTCTCTTTCTCCTCTCTCTCTCCCCCTCTCTCGCTATCTCCCTTCTCTCTCTCTTCTCTCTCCCCCCCTCTCTCTCCCTTCTCTCTCCCCCTCTCTCTCTCCCTTCCCCCCCTCTCCCTCCCTCCTCTCTCTCTAATTCTCTAATTGGTGTCAGTGTGGGAGGAATAGTGCCCATCATTGGTGTCAGTGTGGAAGTAATAGTACCCCATCGTTGTGTGAGTGGGAGGAATAGTACCCCATCATTAGTGCAAGCGTGGGAAGAATAGTGCCCCATCATTGGTATCAGTGGGAGGAATAGTGCCCCATCATTAGTGCCAGTGTGGGAGGAATAGTGCCCCATCATTGGTGTCAGTGTGGGAGGAATAGTGCCCCATTGTTGGTGTCAGTGGGAGGAATAGTGCCCCATTATTGATGTCAGTGGGAGGAATAGGCCCCCATCGTTGTCAGTGGGCGGAGCTCTAATAGGAAGAGGTGGAGCCTAAATATGAAGGGGTGAGGTTTACAGATGAAGGGGTGGATCTCTCCCCCCCCCTCTCTCCCCCTCTCTCTTTCTCTTTCTCCCCCTCTCCCTCCCCCCGCTCTCTCTCTCTGATTGGTGTCAGTGGGGGGAATAGTGCCCCATCATTAGTGCCAGTGTGGGAGGAATAGTGCCCCATCATTGGTGTCAGTGTGGAAGTAATAGTACCCCATCGTTGGTATCAGTGGGAGGAAGTGCCCCATCATTAGTGCCAGGAGAGGAATAGTGCCCCATCATGGGTGTCATTAGTGCCCCCATCCAGTGTGGGAAGAATAGTGCCCCATCATTGGTATCAGTGGGAGGAAGTGCCCCATCATTAGTGCCAGTGTAGGAGGAATAGTGCCCCATCATGGGTGTCAGTGTGGGAGGAATAGTGCCCCATCACTGGTGTCAGTGTGGAAGTAATAGTGCCCCGTTGTTGGTGTCAGTGGGAGGAATAGTGCCCCATTATTGATGTCAGTGGGAGGAAGTAGCGCCCCATCGTTGTCAATGGGCGGAGCTCTTATAGGAAGAAGTGGAGCCTAAATAGGAAGGGGTGAGGTTTACAGATGGAGGGGTGGATCTTAAACAGGAAGGGGTGGGACAAATTTCGTTGCGGGGGGGGTGCCCGATCTGAGTCTTGCCTAGGGCAGCACAAAACCAAAATACACCACTGCACTAATGACAGCACTGACAGAACCACTGATGGGCTGCACTGACAGAACCACTGGTGGGTCCACTAATGACTGCATTGACAGGTCCACTGATGGCCATACTGACAAATCTACTGATAGGTCCACTAATTGCTGCACTGACAGATCCACTGATGGGCTGCACTGACCTTTCCACTAATGGGTCCACTGAAGGCTGCACTGACAGATCCACTGATAGGACTGACAGGTATTCTTTATTAGGGGCAGTGTGGTGCACAGTAGTGAAGGGGTTAACTGGTAACTCAATGTTCCTGGTTCTGCTCCTCACACAGGATCGGTGTGCAAGAAGGAGAAGATAGGAACAGTGAGTTACCGCTGTTTGTTTATATTTATGATCGGCTGTGATTGGACACAGCCAAACATGTGGTAAAAAGCCAATTTCATTGGATCATTACCCTGAGCGGGGAAGCACTGTGCCTGAGGGACAGAGCTTGTCAGTGATCACCACGCTGCACGCCCCGGGGGCGCGCATGAGCGGCGTCGTAAAGGATGCCATATGATGAACACTCAGAGGGACGAGCAGCCCACCTGGCCGTCAATCTGCTATAGGCTGGGCAGGAATGTGTTAAACAGGCTCAAAATTAGTATCCATAATGCAAAACAGTATCAGAATGGCAAAGCGCATTCATACACTGCAAATTACAAATATGAAACAAATTCTGAAATCTGAACAAACATGGACTCTTCAGAGCAATGTCTCTGTGGCTCAATTGTGTTAATATGGTGCTGCATAGCATAGTCTCTATCAGGGGCGGACTGACAACTCATGGGGCCCCCAGGCAATAGGGGATCATGGGGCCCCTGTGTCATTGCCCAAACTCAAAAAAGCCTATGAAAAAGGTACCAGGGGCATCTCATGGGGCCCCCTACTGACCCTGGGCCCTCGGGCAGTGCCTGAGTTTCCAAATGGTCAGTCCGCCCCTGGTCTCTATAAAACTCTATAGCAACAAAGAGCATAGCTGAGTGTCACTACTTTGGCAGCACAGTTCAGAATACAAACAGGTACCTACACTTATTCTCAAAAGCAGCATCCCTCTCAGGGAAGTCCAGGGTAGCTCTGGTAACTTAGGTGCACAGCAGGAAGGATCCAAGACCCAAGGACACAGGGGAAGGGGGAGTGGGAAAGTCTGCACTGGAACTAGAGTACTTTTATAGCATTTGGGAGGTACTTCCAAAAGTAGCTGGGTCTTCCTGAGAAACTGCATACTATTTGGCTCCTGCCCAGCTGCCAGCATAAAGGTTTTGACAATGGACAGCCTATCACTTGGCAGCAGATCCTTTGCCCAGCTACTTCTGCCTCATTATGCGTGGTCTCTCTCACCTTCTCTTTCCTAGGTGTGCTACGGACCTGTGACTGTATCTGAGCACAGTGAGTAAATGGGCATTCTACTACACTCCTTACCATTTGTAGGTGAGAAACCTAGGTGACTAATATACATCATTCTCAATTCTTTCAGCCAGTGGCTCACAGTTCTTATGGGACATTTGCCAAGTGTACAGTTCAGAATTTGAATATACAAGCTACTTGACAGCCACCTCCTTTTCATTCAAATGTAATATTGTTATAGTGCTTCAGGCCAGTTAGAATTCAGGATAGTGTCCCAAGGGCCAAGTGAAAATGGCAATTTCTGTTGACTTTGTCCCCTGGTTCCTTTCATTTGTAAAAGACTCATGATTACACCTAGAATGTTAGAGGATGGCATACTGTAATGGCAACTTTTGGAATTCCAGGGAAAACTCCGGACACGAACTTGAGAAAAACAAGCTTTTTATTATTTACCAGCTGGTTGACCTAGCCAAACTTGTGTCTGCAAGCTAAGTGCCTTGAAAGGCATCTTACATGGTGTATATATCAACAATCACGTCACAATGCATATATTTTTTCTTTACTTTTTGTACCTTTAAAATACATTCTGAGCAGTTCAGGATATAGCCGTTTCACATTTAGATAAAATATCACCAACTGAAAGTTAGGGTGACAGCTGCTAGACTGGAGCACACTGTTCCACAGGATATGAGGGGGAGGAATTGGGATGATGACTTGGTTCTGCAAACAGATGCTTTTAGAAATGTTAAAGCTTAAAGGGGAACTCTGCAATATTTGGGTGTTGCCACAATACTAGTTATACCTGTTATGACAGACATAACCGACACCTGTTATGTTACATAAGACATACTAGCTTTAAATTGCTTAGCAAGCAAAGTAAATCTGTATGAGGACACCATTAGAGAAATATAACCCTCCCCCAACAAAGAAAACTAAATTGCACTAATCTGTTTAATATTCATCAGACTGGCTAACTGAACAGCCCTGAAATACACACATATTTCTATCCCAATGATATTTATTAGTATAAATTTCTATCATTCTACTATTTTTGCACTTTCAGTGCTTTTGTTAAAATTCATTTAATTGCATGTAAATATGAACAGTATTACACTTTTTTTTATCTGTCAGTGGTAATGAAAATCATTGTTTTCTAGGTTTACTAAAGATGTCTTTGTTGACACAGTTTATCCGAACCTATACAACCTTTTTTCTGGTTTCATATCTGACAATCTACACCAATGAAGTTCATGGTAAAGTATTTCATTTTGTTTGTAATGTGATTTTAATTACTTTCCACCCAGGTCAATTCTGATATTTCTCTCCTACATGTAAAAATCATATTTTTTTTTCTAGAAAATGACTTAGAATCCTCCAATATTATATAATATTTAGCATAGACCCTAGAAAGTAAAATAATGGTTTTACTTATTTTATTTTTTTTAATGTCAAACGTTATTGCTGCTGTGGTTTAAAATGCAAATTGTTTGGAAAAAATACACTTTAATGAATTTTAGTGCACACAAACAGAATATAATACCCATTATATGGGTAAAATATAATATTATATAGTAAAATATAAAAGATGACACTGAGTAAAACGATACCTAACATGTCACACTTTAAAATAATATACGCCCGTAAAACAGCGCCAAACTACGGTACCTAAAATCTCTATGGGCGAAACTTTAAAAGCCTTTACACAGATTACCAGTTTATAGTTACATGGGAGGTCTGGCACTAAAATTATTGCTCTCACTCTGACCTTCGCGGTGATACCTCATGTGGTGCGATTACTATTTACATATGCATGTAGGGTTTATGTATGTGTCCACTTTTGTTTATTTTATTAAGGGAATTTTTTTACACTGTCTTTTTTAATTTTTTTTTTCTATTAACTTTATTGATATCACAAGGGGGATGAACAATAACTCTTGTGATAGCATGGGCAGTGACAGACACTCTTTACTGAGACATCTGGGGTTCATTAGATCCCAGATCTCTCCTCTGCCCTTAAAAGCATCTAATCAAACCAAGATCGGTTTGATCAGATGCTTTCACAAGCCAATAATGGCTTCTTTACATCTTGGCGCAACCAGAATAGACAAAATACTTGTCTCTTCCAGTTTCTTAGACCATAGAGATGATCAGGGGTGTTTTCCGGTCTTCGGTCTCTCTATCTCTATGGTAAGCTAGTGGAATCACCAGCTTCAGTCCCTGGCTCCCCGGTGGGATGGCAGATACCTGGCATCATTCCAGCATCTCCACTCAAAGTCCATGATGTCATATGACGTCCTATGGGTGGGAAATGGTTAAAGTAAACATTCATTGCAACCAAGGAAGAAAAGTCAGATAATCACAGGACTTAGTCTTTATATGTTAACGTGAGTCAAAACCAACCACTGCAACACATCGGCAGATGTGCGTGTGGCTGTTTTGCTGAAAAACTGCTGTCTATAGGAAGAAGCCAGTACTGGATACGTCAAGTTTTATGTTTTAATTTTTTGGGGAAGTATTAAAACCCATGTGAGGTTTTTACTGCTTACTGTGTCTGTACTGAAGAGATATACTGTACCCCTCATTATCCTGGTTTTATTGTTTCCAATGAAAAAATGAATGGGAAATTCAAATTTTACAGCTGTCACAGAAACAGGAGGGGTCATTCTCCAATAGAGGCCATCTGGGTGGCATCTGTCTAAAAGGGACTTACCCCTCACTTTGTAGATATTACTTTTTACTTCCTTTATTGTCTCTAGGGCAGGAAGTAAAAGGAAATATCTTTTTAAAGGAAACAGACAGAGAAGAAACTGACAGGGGGTTTTAACCATCCCCTTCTCTATGTGAAAATGAAATATGGTTTTACATACACTCTTGGGTACCTTGGGGGGGGGGGGGGGTTGTAAAAAACAGTATTTGAATAGGGAGTTGGGAAGTTTTGGCAATCACATTGTAATGTTTTTTGCTGCATTTTCTAGCACAAGCAAAATGGATTGAGGAAATCCATTGTCTCAAAGCAATGCATAATGTTGAGTTGCCCTGCATGCTGCAGTTTTGGAATGCTGATCTGAATGGTGCCATCCAATACAACTTAATAGGATCAGGCACAAAATTTGGAAACATGAGTAAAAAATGCTTCTAAAAAGTAATGATGACTGTTTACTAATCATACTTCAGTATCTTAACACTTTTTTTTTTTAAGTAAATGTAAAACATGTTGCTCTATGGGTTGTATAAATAATTTTGGTTGTTTTTCTAAAATCAGTTAAGCATTAACTATGAATTTCATTATGCAGCACAAGCAGCTTCTGATTACTTTTGGCTGGATGAAATAACTACAGTAAAGCCATTGGAGGACAGCACAAGTGAAGGTATGGTTAAATCAGAACTACGCATAACAGTTTGATAAAAACAAAAGAACATACAGGAATTAGACAAAAAAAAGGAAACACTACATGATTTGTAGGTGTGAAAGTGACAACATGTTTGGCGTTGAAAGCAGAAGTGATATAACATTCTTTTGCTGCCACTGTGTGATGAGACACCTAGCTAACAGGTGGGAAGCATCATTGTCATCATTCACTGAGTACGCTGCTAGCATATGGAGTCATGTCAGAGCTTACTGAGCTTCAAAGGGGGGAAATTGTTGCTGCCTACTTAGCTGGTGCCTCTTTGACTGAAGTTGCCAATTTATTTGCTGTGTCGTGAGGTACAGTATCAACAGAGGAACACACTGAATGTATATAATGGCAAGGGGTGCTGGGATGGGGAGAGTTTATTGCTGCTGGATGCTAGGGGGTCCATTATTTCTGGTAGGTGATCTATTGTTACTTGGGATTTTATGTTGCTGGGTGGGTCAATTGTTGCTGAAAGGGATCTACGTTTCAGGAAGGAGTCTATTGTTGAGGGCTGCTGGGAGATCTATTGTTGCTGGTGTGGATCTATTATTCCTGGGGTAGATCTATTGTTGCTGGGGATATTTTGTTGTAAAGGGGTCTGTTGTTTCTTATGGGGGTTAGTTTTGGGGGGATCTACTGTTGTTGGGGGTTAAATTGCTGCTGGGGTGTGTATTGTTGCTGACTGCAGTGGATCTATTTTATGGCATTTCTTTTTGTTAACAAATTTGTTAACAAAATGACTTACCATCACAAACTGATACTTGGTTCTGTATTCTCTAAAAGGGGGGGTGGTGTTCTGAGGTGGGTAGGGGTCAGGTAAATCAAAAGGGTGGTGTACCTGCACCTATTCTCTGAGGAAAAAAAGCTGTGGTTACATCACTTCTGCTTTCAATGCGAAATATGTTGTCATTTTCACACCAGCAATTCATGTAGCATTTCCATTTTTTTGTCTAACCCCTGTACATTCCACATTAATAATTATGCTACAAAAATGAGTGTGTGCTGTAAACTGCTTCCAGTATTGCTCCAGTTTCTTCTGGCTGGACATTTTGGTGAAGCCCAGATCAGTCAATTCCTTACTGTATCCTCTACCCGTCTCTTTAGTCTCAAAAACTATGTCACTTTCTGCAATTAAAATACGTACATTTCCAGTCTTGATTATATGTCTTGGCTAAGTTTGGGAGGAAGGCTGTCAGAAGCTTTACAACGCTAAAGTTCACAGGCTGAGGGAGAAAGGAGGAAATTTCAAG